ATCCATCTAGCTATACAATGTGCAACATATGATATATATAATATGCAACAGATGATATATATACACACACACAAGTACTTGTTGCTGCATCTTACATGATATGATGAATTTTAATTAGTTAGGGTGCCTTGAACTTAATGACTGTGTTTGATAACGGTCACAACTTCCTATGCAAGTAGTTGCATTATTTGTGACACCAAAGTCTGCAACTTTAAACTTTCTATTTATTAAAATACAGTAGATATGCAGAAAGCAGTAGAAAATTTAAGTAAATCTTTCTTGATTAGAATGCCGCATTAGTGTCAGTAGAAACAAACTGCAGTCAGTAAACTTTGCTAAAGAGGTTACTTCTTACTGTGCATTATTTCTCAGACTACAAACATGTGCTTACACTATATAATTTACTGCATTAGAATTTTGCAAAAGCTGATTGTGATATGAAAGAAATACAGATTGACATGCATGTAGTGAGAGGCAGTATTATTTTGGTACCTTGAAATTACTGATTATCACCTTTGCCAGAAAGACCACAACTCACAATTTTTGGAGCCTCGAAGGCTGGGGACAGCTAGACGAAGTGGGTGATTCGCAGGCAGGGCATGCCAGAGAGAGTCGCTGACTGAATAATGTCACCACTCTTGCAGGTGCACTGGCACTGGCTGATGGCTGCACACCAATGACATTAACAGTAAAATACAAATAATTCATGCACTGCCAGATGCAGTCAAATGTGTATGTGCTTCTGTTCCCAGTATCCGGCCAATCAGCATCAGTAATTAAAGTGTAACAAAAAGTCTCAAGGTTTCACTAGAGTGTTATCAAACAAAATTTGACATCAAGCCACATATGGAGATATTAAGCCTCAAGGAATGTGTTAAAGGACAAGAGAGTGCTAATGAGGCAGAGAGGTTCAGGGAAAGAATTCTAGATTTTAAAACTGAGGCAGCTGATGAGACAGTTGCCAATGGTGGTTACAATAGAAGTGTGCAAGAGGCCAGAAAAGGAAAAGTCCAGCTTTCTAAGGGTTAGTCCATGAATGGATTTGAAAAAAACAATCAGAATTTTAAAATCAATACATTGCTAGACTGGTAGCTAATGTAAGTCAACAAACATAGAGGTGATAGATGAATAGGACTTGGTCTGAGTTAGGATATAGTAGCAGAGTTTTGGTGAGCTGAAGTTTATGGAGGTAGGAAGATGGGAGGTTGATGAGGAGAGCACTGGAATAGCCAAGTCTAAAAGTAACAAAGGCATAAATGAGGCTTTCATAAGAACATACAAAACATAATAAGTAGGAATAGGAGTAGGCCTTTCGAACTAGTATCATCATTAATTATGATCATGGCTGATCTTCTACCACAATTCAGCCTTCCTGTACTATCATTAAATCCCTTAAGTCCATTCGTAATAAATTGAAGTGCACATGAACTAAGACGGGGCTGAAATAGGCGATACTACGCATATGGAATTAGATGATGTTGATGATGGAATAGATGTGGGAACAGGAGTTCATCTTGGGTTTATATAAAATTCCGTGATTGTGACAGCTCAACAGTGCTCTAGAAGCATGATGGTATAGGTGGCTAAGGAACAGAGCTTCTGGAAGAGAATAAAGACAATGGTTTCACTCTTCAGAACGTTTAATTTGATGAAGTTTTCTGCTCAACCAGTACTGGACATCAGACAAGCAACCTGACAAGTCAAAGGCAATAGAGGGGTCAAGAGATGTGCTGGTGAGGTAATCTGGGTGTCATCAATGTTTACGTGAATGCTGATATGTATTTATTTGGGGCAGCATTTAAGATGAAAAATTGGAGCAGCCAAGGATAAATCTTTTGAGAGGTAGTAGTGCAGGACATGAGGAGAAGCTATTGCAAATGATTCTTTGGCTTTGATTGGAAGGATAATAATGGAGCCGGGGACAGCAGTCTCATCCTGGTAGGCAACGTAGCGGAGATAATGGAGGAGGATAGTGTGATCAACTGTGTCAATTTACACACAGGCTGAGAAGCATGAGGAAGAATAGTTTTCTATTAGTCACAACCACAATGGACTTTAACTAAGAAAGATTCAGTGCTATGGGAAGGGCAGAGACCTGGTTGAAACTTTGTAAACATAGACTGATGAGAAAAATCGGGATGGATTTCGAGAGGTGGCATGTTTGAGGATTTTCGACATACTGTACTCTACTCAAACCTAACCTTGATACTCCTCACTACATCCACATAGCATATCTCTGTTCCCATTTGCTGAAATTTAAGTAATAGTTATGCTAACAAAAAAGACAATGCCTAAGTAAATGTATCCATATGATTCAAGTATGTTTTGGACCTTTCAAAAGTTGAAGTAGACCTGGAATGCTATGATTTGTCCTTGCATATCTCATTTTCAAAAGTTTCTAAAAGAGGTGCGAGACAATCACAGATTGAGCAGCATCAAGTGGTCTGTTTTTGTGGCCATGTCAGATGTGTTGCTGTTGCTGTAATCTCTTTTCTGTCACGGTTAATAACTATAGTAACAGAAAAAAAATGATAACTAATATGGTAAAAGTGAAACAAACACCCTATGCAGAAATGGGCTTTAGCATTATCTTCCTCTCTCAGTTTATGCTCAATTCATGATTCTGAAACTTTAAAAAATGGGATGAATATATTCCTGTTACCCTTCTTATTCAGCTCAAATATACAGCATAAGGGGAACGTATAAAGCTGTTTTTAGTATCCGCAACCCCATTACAGAGAAAAAAAGTCCTACAGCACAGTTTTTAAATTATCTTCTAATTAAAGGTTACCAGAGTCGTAGATTTCCCACTGTTCACTTCCCTATTTAAGGCCACCAATACAATATGACATTAAAAAAAAACTGTGAGAACAGCAAGCCTGTGCTCCAAATCATTACACCTATTAGAATTCCATATTTTCTTATTTTTATCAGATAAGCCTTGAACACAATAACAGCTCAAGTTCAAGTCCACAGTGTAAGCGGTGGCTTGCATTTCCACAGCTGGATAATAACATACTATAAAAACTAGTCAACACAGTAGGTATAATTTTCCTCCATCTTCCTCTACCCTGATTCTAGACGTTAGTGAGGCACAGCATGCAATATCTGATGACCCAAATTTGCCTGATTTAGAAGTTAGAAATTCTGCAGACCTGAAAATGGTTAATAGTACCTGAAAAAAAGAGATGCAAAGCTCTGAATCATCTCCATTTCATTGTTGTGTAGATTATCTCAAGACCTCTAATTAAAGAAAACAGTAGCCTAAAGTCACCCTCCAAATGGAGGTCCACCAAATAATCCAGCAAGAAAGTAGAGTGAGAGGGCCAAATACACTGCTCCTAGATTCATTTTCAATGCTATGCCTGATGTCAGCAGTGCAACTATCCCTGCAGTTAATGAAAATAATTGGACAATGCAAAGGAGTTAGTGTATCTCTTGCTCTTTCTTTTGATTTCAGCTTAGAAACAAGGTACAATTTAATATCTCCTATCCATACCAGTAGCAGATTTAGAGGCAGGGAGAGAATTCAGTTGAGAATGAGAGGGCAGGGGAGAACCTCTTCTCCATTAATGTCCATTTAAGGCCCTCATCCTACCACTACTTGTATTCAGCCAGTGGCAGGTGGGGTGTTCCCACACGAGAAACCCACAAAGCAAACTTTGTCCGGTTCCCTGCCTTACTTAACACGTACTCCCAGTCTTGAAGGGGGGTCACTAACATGTAACATTAACATTTTTTTTATTCACTCATGGGACAAAGGTTCACTGGCAGGTGACCATTTATTGCCTTTCTGTAGTTGCCCTTGAAAAGGTAGTGCTGAGCTGCCTTCTTGAACTGCTGCAGTCCATATGCTGTAGGTTGACCCACAATACCCGTAGAGAGGGAATTCCAGGATTTTGACCCAGTGACAGCAAAGGAACGGATATATTTCCAAGTCAGGATGGTAAGTGGCTTGGGGGGAAATTTGCAGGTGGTTGTGTTCCCATGTATCCAATGTCCTTGTCCTTTTAGATGGAAGTGTTCATGGGGTTCAAAGATGCCGTCTAATTTGGTGTTTTTCTACTGTGCATCCTGTAGATAGTACACACTGTTGCTATTGAGTGTCAGTGGTGGGCAGAGTGAATGCTTGTGGATGTGGTGCAAATCAAGCCAGTAGATTTGTCCTGGATGTTGTCAAGCTTCTTGAGTGTTTTTGGAGCTTTACCCATCCAGGCAAGTGGGGAATATTCCATCACATTCCTGACTTGTACCTGGTAGATGGTGGACAGAGTCTGGAGGTGAGTTTCTCACTGCAGTATTCCTAGCTTCAGGCCTGCTGTTTTAGCCACTGTGTTTATGTGGTGAGTTTGTGGTCTGTGGTAACCCCAAGGATGCTAGTTGTGGGGGATTCAGTGATGGTAACATAACTGAATGTCAAGGGGTGGAGGTTAGGTTGTCTCTTATTGGAGATGGTCATTGCCTGGCTTTTGACTGTTACTTGCCACTTGTCAGCCCAAGCCTGGATATTGTCCAGATCTTGCAGCATTTGAACACTGACTGCTTCAGTATCTGAGGAGTCACAAATGGTGCTGAGCATTGTGCAAACATCCCCACTTCTAACCTTATGATGGAGGGACGGTCATTGATGAAGCAGCTGAAGGTGATTGAGCCTAAGACATTATCCTGAGGAACTCCAGCAGAGATATCCTGGAGCTGGGATGACCGACCTCCAATAACTGCAACCATCTTTCTATGTGCCAGGTATGACTCCAACCAGTAGACAGTTTGTCTCCAATACCCATTGATTCCAGTTTTGCTAGGGCTCCTCAATGCCATGCTCCATTTAATACGGCCTTGATGTCAAGGGCTGTCACTCTCATCTCACTGTTTCTTTCTCCACAGATGCTACCAGACTTGCTGAATATTTTAAGCACTTTTTGTTTTTGTTTCTAAAGCTTAATAATATGTATTTAATGTTTAAGTTATTAATGCCATTTGATTATTTTCCATTTTTTCAGCACCTGAGATCCTGCGAGGCTGCACCTACGGGCCCGAGGTGGATATGTGGTCTGTTGGAGTCATAACTTACATCTTGTAAGTGTGCTTCAAACATGACTATACTGTCATGAGTGGAACATCATATTATAATGTTGCAAGGAACTCAGATGCTAGCCACTAATACACAATATGTTTTGTCAAAATTGTGGATGCCAAAACTTAGATAACACAAAGCAAACCAACCTTCAGGCTTGATTTCATGCTGGCACTAATTTGATTTGCTAGGACTATTAATCGTAGGCAGTTTTTCAGCTGAATTATTCTAAAGCTGTTGAGTTTCATGCATAAGTTGTGGTAACCTGCTGATTAAACCTGTCTAAGCAAATGTGAAAATGAAATGACACTTTTTAAAAGCCATATGGCTTCTGCAAATTTCAAACATTTTTAAGACTCTGTTTTTAACTTTACTGCAGTATTTCTTTCAAAGTAAGTAAGCCACAGTGAGGAAAAGTGCTTCTTGCCTTTACCCCCTTCTATTCTGATTCCAAGCCAATGGTTGTCAGCAGTTATTTTCTCCTCTGCTTAAACCTTACGAGAACCTACATGAAGTACTCACAAACACAACACAAAAACAAAGTTGCTAGAAAAGCTCAGCAGGTCTGGCAGCATCTGTGAAGGAAAAAACAGAGTTAACATTTCGGGTCCGGTGACCCTTCCTCAGAACGGAATCTGGACCAGCAAGCAGCAGGTCAAGGTGACCCTGAAGGTGGAT